AACTGATCCAATGGAGTTTGATCATAGTAGGAACCAAAGATGGTTTGTGCAGAATCCCTTAAGATTATCTTCAAGAGTTCTATCACCTCGATCTTACTTTTTCTCTTGCTGGTCCATTGTTTGATCCATTCACAAATCAGGATGACAACTTCTCATCAATGGGTGATCAAGATTTCAACTTTGATTATGAATGGTAGCACACTTGTCATGAAGAATTCTGACTTGAAGCCTATCAACTAGCAAGCACCAAACTTGAAACTTTCGATTCTACTCTTCCACAACACTCCTTTACTTTGACTTCTTCTTCCTAATGGACACAGTCATGCTTCCTCTTTAGCGAGTTAGGAAGTGGTCTATCCCTATGTTGCTCAGACTCTTCAGAAATGTCAATGGGTGCATGTCGGATTGATCTCCAAAAGTAGCGCATTTTTGGAGAATCTGACATGAGTATGGCATCAGAGTCCACTTAGGTTTATCCTAGTCCACAATGATACATGTGATCTTGGGACTAATTTACTGAAAAATCTGCTTGGAAATACAACAAGTCCACACTTTTAATTCCTGTAATCTTTTGGACACTACCCTCTAAGCTTTGGTTATCCCATTGTTTGGTTATTGTTATTACTTCTTGTTTTCTGAATGCTATGCTATGTTTTCCCCATTATTTGGTATGTCCTCTTTACTTATAAACTTTTTAAGGCATAATGTTCTAAAACTGAACTTATGTCCCAAGGCACAAGTTATGCCTTACGAGGCATAACTTCAGTTTTGGAACTTTATGCCTTAAGAAGTTCATACTACTTAACTTATGCTCCAACGTACAAGTTATGCTTAAGGCAAAAGAAATTTGCATAACACAAGTTATGCTCTATAAGACATAACTTGAGTGTATGAATTTCTTAACGTATAATATTCTAAAACTAAACTTGTGTCTTATAGGGCATAACATGTATTTAGAGATTTTTTTTTCGCCTTGCGCTTTTTAAAATTGTTGAGGGTATGTTTAACCGCATTTTATTACATAAAGTGTTGAAAGGAGAAATTAGATCTACACCTTTTCAAGCTCTCTGTTAACCACCATTTTATGTTTTCAAAAGTAATATACTTAAACATAGAACTTTAATTATGTATCCAAGAAGATTATCTAATTCCTTTAGTTACAAACCACAAGAATCTCTAATTAAGCTAAAACTTTATTTGATAATTAGTCAATCTTACCTCGTAAATCGTAATGGATTTGAAATAACTATATATCCACAAACTCAAATGGATGCAGGCTGCGTCCCATTCCAGTAGGTCTATGTTTAATACTAGTTCAGCTAGACAGGTTGTACGTACATCATATGCTAGTTCGGTTATTTCTGTAGTGGCAAAGCCAAAACTTATTGTTGAATATTGTTTGTTTGAGACGATGGGCACAATCGATTTCTCACAATTTGAATTTTACTATATCAAAGTAAGGACACGCTTCGGTCTTGCAATCTTGATCACTAACTTGTTGCTTGCTTCAGCAACACTCTTTACTTAGCACTCACTCTTGTTTTCTTGCTTAATTCCTTGGTTTGTTACTTAGTTTGTTACTTACAACTCTAATGGACCACCTCTATTTATAGGAGGTGAGCTAAGCATATTTTTCTACTCTATTCTAGAATATTCCTCCAACTACTTAATTCTCTCTAAAATACTCATTCTAGAGATCTTTCTTCAATTCTCTGTAACTTCGGAATATTCTAGATTTTTCTTGACTTATCTTAAGTAAATAATTAAGTTGGTGATGAATTCTTAACACTTATGACCCTGTAAGCTTTTTGTTATATATGCTATTTACTCTTTCTGACCAAAAATAAATAAATAAAGGATTACACTAGAAATTAAGTAGTACGATTCAAATCAAACCCTACCATTCATTTTCTGTTTTTTTCTCTTTTAGCAAGGTATTATACTAGCTAGTTTAAATACTATCCATTTAGACGCCATAGTGATATATAATGCAATGTGATTTTATTTTTGTTTTAACCTCGAGGAAATCTACCATAGCTATTTTTTGGGTTCTCATTGAATAAATCTGCGCTTGTACAATAGCTCATAAACTACACAAAAGATATAAACCGCATTAGGCAAGTGTAGTGCGACGAGCTCAGAAGGTGTTGGCAGGGGGTTGGGATCTTTTATCTCCCTGAATTATCACATGATGCACCAACTCAACCAACTTTACGAGTATGTAATGGTCATTTTGAAAGGGTGCCTCTTTAAGATCAATAGTTAAATTAACTGAAAATGAAATTTATTATGAGTGATTGGTTAAGTAACATCCTAAAATTTGATATCAATTAACTATATACCTTTTTGATCTTATCTAACTTACTTTAGATAATTAAAATTAAGAAATCAATTAACCAAGATATGTTTGCTTGTCATGGATTTTTCATATGGACATTATATTCGAGGCTAATTAATATTTAAGGTTCTATCTTCTTAATTCATATTAATGAGTTTGACTCCATGAGGAACTAAGCAAAAGATTATTGAATTAGCCTATTTCTTGCTTGTACTATTTTTGAAGTATTTTGATTCAAGTAACTTGATAAAAGATGAAACAAAAGCCACTTTCCAATCCCACTAAAGTTAAAAGAAAATAATTAATAAGACTTACATCTAGTGAATTCATACTCAAAATCCTCTTCTTAATTTTATAATTATTTTTAAAAATTACGATAAATAGTTTAAGACGAAGAGCGCATAGTATTACTTGAAAAAAAAGAAATTGAAAAAAGTCAAAAGGGTCCCAGCTATCTCATGATCCTCACCTTATTATAATGCCTTTGCACTTGTAAATAGTTCAATCATTGTCTATATGCACTAATTAAGTAGTAAAGTTCCATTGCCACTTCTATTTGGCTCCACACCTAGGATGCAGAAGGGGTGTGGGCGGCTATGAATATCATGATCGATCATTATTATCAATAAATCATCGGCTATGAATAGTTCCTCATAAGTTTGATTTCGCACCTCTTACTTCATTTATTGTATTACTGAGCTTTACACTCTAAATATTCATCAATCATTATTATCGATAAATCATCGGCTATGAATAGTTCCTCATAAATTTGATTCCGCACCTCTTTTTTCATTTATTGTATTACTGAGCTTTACACTCTAAATATTCTGCTTTGTAATTATTCTCTAGAACTATATGGTACACAAATAACTCTTTTTGTTATTATCCTCTAGAACCTTCTGGTACATCTACAAGTACCTCATTTTTCAATGTTAAATAAATATATATAATATTTTTTTCAACCAAAATAACAATAATTCTAATTAAAGTATCTTTCTAGTTGACAAACATATAATTCTTATCCACCTAGAAAAAGAATTTTTCAGAAAAAGTGAGAAAACTTATCCATACCAATTTGCCCCTTTACATTAATCAAGAGACGGTATATTATTTGAACATTATATCATATCACTATCAATCATCCTTTTTATTTTTCTAGAGTGGGAAATATATTCTTTTAAGCTCCAATTCTAGTGCTTTTTTTGTAAATCTTCTTATCCTTTACTACAATTTTTTGTTATTGTCCTTTTATATCCACTATCAACACATTATCACGAGAATAAACGTGTGCAAATCAGAATTTAAATTTTATGAATTTTAAAGTTACTAAATTTTAAATTAATAATTTGTAAATATGTAATGATTTCAATTTTAAACCATGTATAAAATTTAAACCAAATTAACTGAATTCAGTCGAACTCAAACATCCGTCCTTGTGTCTTTTCTATTGATAAAATCTATGTACTAGATTTCATTCTTTTATCTTTTTTAAAGTGAGATAATAATATCAACATAGGTATAGTACTTTACAAGTGTACTCTTGTCCGTAAGTGGATAGGGTACTTTTATGAGAAACAAAAAAGTATAACAACAAATAAAGTACCATTAGTGAAATCGAAGAATCTTAGTAGATGAATTGATTAACTATCTAAATTTTCAGTTCGTTAGTAATATTATACGATTTCCCACACTATTATCCCTTCAAAGAAGAGAAGAAGAAGAATATAATCCAACAATTGTAACTAAGAAGAATGATTCAATTTTTCAACATGTTGTTGCTTTTCTCATTAATTATGATATTGACAACCTTTGTTTTCTCTATTTGTGTCTTCAAACAAAATTACAGCTAATCATAGTATATAATTAAGGAAAATGACTAGCACTTTAATTTAATACATAAATTGATACGTATACTTTACGGCTAATTAAAGATATATAACCTGAACATAATATTGCAATCAAAAGATCATTATGTAGACACAAGACAACATTTGATCCAACATGAGAGTAATTACTCAAGATTACTTAAACATAAAATATTGAAAATAATAGTCACCGTTCATAATAATATTTCACTATAATAATTATATATATTTTTTTATCAACATCGATCTTTCATGTTGTTTCATATTATATTATCTCTATAATAGCATTTCGCTATATCAATAAAAAAAATATCAAAACAAAGGTTTAACTATCTTGATTTACTCAATTTTTACTTTTTCTGTTCTAAAAATATAATAATCATGTTTCACTTCTCGAGTGTCGATTATTAAATGGTCATATTCACGTGGCAGCCTAGTCGGCAGTCGACAATGGAAATGGGGTCCGGTTCTTGAGTGGGCAAACCATTATCTTTTTACAAAATCAAAGTGTCTTAGTGGAGTATCCAAATTGAAAACGAAAAATAATTAAGACTTAAACATATGTTAATTATCTTTAAAACTATTTATAAAACATGGCTTAAGAACTTTGAATTATTCATCAATCAAATAACATAAAGTAACAAAATAATAATAATATCCTTACATTATTACTAGTCAAAAAGTTGTTCTACACATTTACACATGTTACCCCTATAATATTTAGTAGTACTATATAATAAACCCCCTTCAAGAAGGACTTCAATAATTCATCCAACAAAGAACAACTCATACAAAGAAAAAACACATTCAAAATTACCAAAAAAATCAAAAATTCATGGAGAACTTCCACTACTCAAGAAGATTACTCCGGGAAGCCACCATGTCGCCACCACCGGCAGCCGGAATCCGCCACGATACAATGGATCATCCACCACTTGGTCATAGAGTCAACACAATTGATGCAAATGTTATTATGGTCTTGGCTGTACTTGTATGTGCCTTAATTTGCTCACTTGTGTTGAATTCCATCATAAAATGTGCATTTAAGTGTTCTAGCTTAATATTGGCCGATCCATCCTCAAATCATACAAGTAACAACAACTCTTCTTCAACAAAATTAGTCAATAGAGGGATCAAGAAAAAAGCGCTCAAGACATTTCCGGTTATAACATACACTACTACTGAACTGAAACATCCAGGGCTCGACTCTGAATGTGTCATTTGCTTATCAGAGTTTGGAGTTGGAGACAAAATCAAGGTGCTACCTAAGTGCAACCATGGATTCCACGTTCGATGTATCGATAAATGGCTCAATTCACACTCTTCTTGCCCTACTTGTAGGCACTCCCTCATTGAGACTTGTGAAAAAATTGTTAATGGTGGCAATTCTTCTAGTAATAATACTTCATCATCATCAGAGGCAGCAGTACAAGAAGTCATAGTAAGGATTGAACCTCTCCAACGTGAAGGTGTGATATCTAATTAATTTACAATCAAAATTTGGTAGAAAAAATAGTAATATATTTAGATTTTCCTTAGTATATGTATCTTTAGTCGTTGTGATCGGAATCTATTATGGATTCCTGACCACATTTTTTATATGGCCCTCTTATCTCTTCCTTCTCTGAGCTCTGGTTATGAAAGAAGGAACCGAGAAGAAGAATGTATCACATATACTCAATTAGATTAGAAGCTTAGCGAGCTAGCATGTAGTTTTCCAATGATTTATTAGTCTTGCAAGTGTATATACAAATTAAGGTTTATTTCCCTTAATTTCTTTATAATTAAGTGCAAAGTTATTGTATTTTCATTTGAGAAAAGGGACAAATATATTTCTTCGATCTGTATTAAATAAGTTTAGTCTTAAATTGAAGTCTCGTTTATTTCTTTTGAACCCTTAAGTAAGGTGATTTTAAACACTTGATTTTCTAATTGATTTTGTATTTTATAATCATATACTACTTACAACAAATTAAATTAAGCGGGACCCGCTAATCAATCTAACTTTGAAATGGAAAAAATATTTGGAATAATTGAAGATGGGTTGATAATTAGGAATAAAGTGTTGTCTATTTTATTTTATTTTTATAAAAGGAATAAAGTAGAATGGTAGATGTTGAATATTTTATTTTTGTAGTGGGATTCAAACCTTTTAACATTCCTGTTTTTTTTTTAAAAAAAAATCTAAGGATGGTATAGTTTAAATTCTTTAATCTATACGTGATGGGACAGTCTACAACATGAAAAATAAAAATAAAAATCTTTAATTTGAGATGCGTTTATAATGGTTTATTTAAGGGTAGTGAACTTACTGAAATGTTTTCTAATAGAAATAAATAGTCTATTTGGTCAAGTTTTTATGAGGTTAACAATGTTTATTTTTTTAAAAAAAGAGGTGCTATTAGTGAAGTTTTTAGAAGAAAATAAACATTTTTATGAATAACAGGAATTATTTTTCAAAAGCTAAAAATGAAGTTTTTCCCGGAAAGCATTTTAAGAAAAATACACTTAAAAACATTTTTAAATAACTTGACCAAATATCAATTAGTTTTTAAAAGTATTTTAAAATTTATTAATCAAATATAATTATTTCTTATCAAAAGTATTTTTAAAAAAAATATTATTTAAAATAAATTAATTATAAAAATTTGATCAAACAGACTACGAGTATCAAACAAATTAAAGAAATCAAACTAGGTACTTATATTATAATTATTACCTGCACATTTCAATGTCACAGAAAGTTGAGAACTATATATTACAGTCAAACTTTATTCACTGATTTAATATAATGAATCTGCCTAGTTGTAAAAGGAAATTAAACTATATACGTTTCAAGATTTCAAGTTATGACTTTTAACTATTGGTGAACTGAAACCACTATACTCATTCACTTTGGAAGCGGTTCTAAATTAATAATTTGTACATATTTAATAAATTTTAGAAATAGATGTATAGTTCTTACACTTCATTTGGACGATTGTTACGTATTGTTTTTAATATATGATATTGTATATATTGTATCGTGCTGTATTGTTTTGATGAATACAATGTTTGAATAGATTATGTAGCGTCCTCCGTCGTTACATAATGTTACACATTCATAATTTAAATGATAAACCTATGAAAAAAGTAGGGTATAAAGTAGAGTTACTATGAAAAAGATTGGTTAAAATATGAAATGTGATTATTAAATAATAAATAAAGACAAAATGAGAAGAAAATATTAAGATAACGATGCGCAGAGACAGCTTGATAGGGTTAGAAAAAAGGCAAGTGCCTTAGGCCCCAAAATTTGAGGGACCACATTTTTTTTAAGCAATAATAGATTATAGATTTTTATTAGAAAAAAATATTGAGCAAGTACTATTTATAACAAAGATTATGCTTTTTATATAAAATGGGAGAATTATTAGAAGAAGTTTGGCACATCTGGAGTAATGATTAAATTGATTGATTATAGTATCAATTAAAAAAGAATTATTAAAAAAATTAATTATAAAAAAAATAAAAATTCTGCATCTCAAAGAGCTAAAAGAACAAAATCCGTAAGAAAATATGTTACTTTATTTTTTAAAGTTTAAGGCCTCCCTTCGATTTTCGCTTTAAGTCACTAATATACTTGAGCCCCTGTCTACGCGATCACACCAAATTGGTTATTATATAAAACAAATTTTTTTATCGTTATCTAACGATGAATTTAAACGATACGATACAATAGAGTTTAAGTTACAATGAACATAAACATTATATTTAAACCAACAATACAACGGGTAACAACCATCCAAACAAGATGTATATCAACCGTCACATAAAATGAATTTCTTCATCGTTATCTATCGATGAATTTAAACGATACAACACAATAAAATTTAAGTTACAATTAAAATAAATATCATATTGAAACTAATAATATAATATAACGGTAACAACCATCCAATGTATTAGTGGGTACCAATCAGGAGAAGGTAAGACTGAAGCATTACTTGAGAAGATAATAAAGCACCCACCAAAGACTAGGAGGACCAAAATAATTGAAAAATCAAATAGACCACAAACTTAATTGTTTAAAACATTAAATGTGTTGCTATTATTTTTTTCTCTTAGTGGCATACTTTTAATTCAAAAGAAAGTGAGAGATAAAGAAAAGACAGTAATCCAATAGAAAGAACATGAAGATTTAAGAAAAAATCCGTTTGGCCAGAAAATTTGGTCAGAATAATATTTTACCTATGTTATTTTATTTATTTTTGAACATTTTTACCCTTTTAATTTTAATACCCTTTAATTAATAAATGGAAAAAAGATCTGTTTATTTTAAAATAAAAAAGATATTATAGACTTTTAAAATTTATGGCCAAATTCTGACCAAATTTTCTGGCCATTTAGCATTATTCAAGATTTAAATAGCTAAATTAAAGGAATACACTCTAAATGACTCATAATAAATGCAACAAATATTGGGTTAAATTCAAGAAACTTGCTAAGCATGCACCCCTTAACAACCAATTAGTAGACTTTTTTGATAGTTTATCACTAAGTGAGATTAATGACAGATTAACGATAAATTTTACTATTTAACTATGAAATTTACCGTTCACTAATTCATTTTTAAAAAATCAGTAGCAAAGAAAAGAGAAAGATATACATCAATAATTAGAGTGAAGATCATACCCTACAACACGCGCAAACAAATATACTTCCTTTGTTTGAGTTTGTTTAGTATATTCTGATTTGACACGAAATTTAAGAATATAAAAGAAGATTTTTGAATCTTAAGATCTTAAATTAAAGATATGTCAAATATATCAATATGTTTTTTAAATTTTATGATCTTAAATATGTTAGATAAAGAGTTGTGCGCTAATAAAGAAAATATCATTTTTTAAAGGGATTAAAAAAAATCAGTAGGTTAAATAAATTAAAACGAAGGATCGAAGTACATAAGTATGAACTATGAAGGACAATCAATGTTGCAATATGTGGTGATAAGACAATTTCTTATCTCTAGCTCTAAAAAAGATAACCCTCAAGGGTGCAAGAAAATGATAGGAACTGAGGAATTAATATATATCTATATATACATATATTGTGTTGGTGGTTTATTGATAAAGATAGAATAAATTCTTTTTCCCAACCCCACCAAAATTGAAAGAACATAATTAATAAGTTAATGAAGACTATATTTTATATATATCTAGTGAAAAGGGTCCAACTATTTCACGCACTTGGAAGAGGATCACATTCATAAAGTTACATGTATTATTATATTTCAATCATTTCCAATATTTCTTTTTATTTCTTATTCGTAGTTTGGAGTTCGTATTGAAGCTCTGATTAAATTTGAATCGCACACTAGGTAAGTAATCTCAATAACACACCACAATCCATATTGATAATTATTTCCTATATCACTATTCACTATGAAGTATAGTGCTACCGTCCGTTATGAAAAACGTGAAATTACTATGAAACTAAGAATTTGTTAGCGATTTCTTATTATTAAAAATGTCTTTGCTTATTGATTTTTTTTTTATAATCATCACTTATTTATAGCTAAGCATGAAATTTTTATTATTTAGTTACAAAATTTTATCCGACACTAATGCCTTGTTTTCTTTTCTTTGGTTCTACCGACCACCTCCATGTGCAATACCACTAAAGGATACATGTACCATGTTATTTTGCACTATTCACACTAATTAGTGTCTTTCTTCCATTATTGTTAACTAATAAGTCAACTATGCCTTTTATTTTTCTGCGCGCTAATCTCTTTTTAATTCATTGAACGCGGTTTTTCTTGAAGTGGCAACATTGATTTATTTGGAACAACTAAAAAATACTACTTTTTTTTGTTCATAATTTATTTACCTGTTTTAATTTGACACATAATTTAATAAAGTAAAGAAGATTTTGATCTTATGATCTTAAATTAAAGATATGTAGAAATTAGAATATTGTACAAAAATATTTTTTAATTTTATGATATTAAATATATCATATGAAAAGTTGAAATTAAAGAGTTGCTACAAAAGAAAAGGGATATTCTTTTTTGAACAAATTGAAAACGAAAGGAATATATGATCATTTCTTCTTCAAAAAGTTAGCTCAAGAAGTGAGATTGCTCAAGTCATATTAAAGAGACCACTCAATATTCCTAAAAGGGTCGATAAATGAATCATCCAAGGAGCATTAACATGACGTATTGTTCCTGTTTGAATCGTAACTCTTCACGGGAGAAACCCCAGCGAGCACTTATTTTTTCTTTTATGGGTCTTATACGACGTTGGATGCAAAATATGTGTCTTTCATACACAAATTTAACACTTAATATGATTATGTGATATGTATTCCTACCTTATTTGGTCAGGTGTAACTATATATATGCACTCAATGCAGATAAGTATTTACCGCTTTGGTGGATCAAAAGTTAAAAAAAAAGTCTGCATAACAAATGCGTCGCAATGGGTGGCAAATCATAAATCTGGACACCATATTATTATAGCATTAATACAATGCAATAATCTATGGTGGATTAAGGATTAATTAGGGAATTTAATCATTTTTATGTCTTGTTTTGTTTCAACTTATCCATTAATCCACCATTATAAGTTAGTGACGTAGACATATATAGTTATAAATAAAATTACACATATATAAGTGGAGAATTGGAGGGTCTTATCTAAATTGCTAATATCTCAACCTAAGTACATTAATTTGTTTTTTTTGCAATCACTTATTTGCTTTGCATACAACTCGTCCTTTTGTTTTATGGGACCAATCTTAACATATTTTGAGCAACCAAAAAAAGATAGCTAATTAATTAACTATCTTAATTAGTACAAATCTTAAAAAAGTTATCAGAGTTGAACTTAAAA